TATTTCTTTATAATATTTCTAAGTGATGATTCATCTTGCTTGCAGTTGATGTGCATTTTGTTTTTGTAGAAAATATGTTATTTTTGACTGTAGGTTCACTATCATTGTTATTTACTTTGGGAATTTTGTGGTCTATAAGGTGGTTAGGGAAGCCATTGTTAACGTGTTTCTGTTTTGCATTATTGAGTTCTTTAAGGAAGATTAGTCGAGGGGATGACGTCTAGTATTCTCTTTTTAGGAATTTTTTTTTTATTAATGTTATTTTGTAACTGAGTTAAGGTCGCAAGAGTTTATGCTGGTGGGATTTTTATATAAAGAGCTAATAAAAGTGTGGTTACTATATTCTACGCGAACGTCTAAGAATGGGAGTTTATTTATTTATTTATTTATTTGTCTAAGTTCGTAGGTAAAGTTTTATCGACACTTTCTTTTTTTCTTCTTTGTTTTGCATTCCTTTTCTTCCTTTTTTATTTGTTTTAACCTTTCTTTTCGTTTTTCTGTCAATGACCGTTCGCTCTTTCATTTATTCATTCTTTCTTTCTACCATTTTTCTTTTTTCTTACTTTTTTTCATTCATGCATTCTTTCTTTCAGTTTTCTTTCTTTCGTTCTTTCTTCTGTGATTCTAATTTCCCCTTTTTCCGTTTTTTATCAGCTTTCGTCACCATTTTAGCGACTTTTTCTTTCTTTATCTTTTTTCTTTCTTTTTAACCTAGCTTACACCTTTCTTTATCTTTTTTCTTTCTTTTTAAACTAGCTTAAACCTTTCTTTATCTTTTTTCTTTCTTTTTAACCTAGCTTACACCTTTCTTTATGTTTTTTCTTTCTTTTTAAACTAGCTTACACCTTTTTTTTAGCTTATTTTTTTTTTTCTTTTAACCTACTAGCTTACACCTTTCTTTATATTTTTTTCTTTCTTTTAACCTAGCTTACACTTTTTTATCTTTTTTTCTTTTCAATATATACTTTTTTATTTATCTATTTTTTTTTTTTAACCTAGCTTTTTTCTTTATCTTTTTTCTTTCTTTTTAACCTAGCATAAACCTTTCTTTGTCTTTTTTCTTTCTTTTTAACCTAGCTTACACCTTTCTTTATCTTTTTTCTTATCTCTCATCTATCGGAGGATTCCTTATTTAAATGAATCTTTTGTATACCTTTTTTTTTCTTCAGATATCCTCAAGAACTGAACTTTGGACCAGAGGTCAGTGTCCAACCCCAAACAATACTTGTCCAGTAAAGTGGGAATGATTGATAAATGGATATCCGGCCGGGGAGATCCGAAGTCGTCGACGAAACACAAAAGAAAGAAAAAAGAAGCTGGAAATGCAAAGATGGACGACGGAAGTGAAGCATTTGAAACAACAATAATATTAGGTTTATGTGATAAAATGTGATTGCTTGAGTGGTGAACTGGCAAAACGCATTGGGTTTTTTTTTCCTCGATGTTGAAGCAGACGATAAGCCATAAGATCCGGCAACCATTTCACTGCTCAGCACATACACGTCGTTATCAATTTCTTTATAAGTCTAAACAAGATAGACTTCATTACTAAATCCCTGGATTTGGATTAGCGAGATGATTTATTTTAATAATCCGACATATTTAAGAAGCATCTGCTGCTGTCATATATGGTCTGGAGCCCCCTCTGTTCCTCTTAAGGTCCTCAACAAAATCCAGAGGCGGATATGCAACGTGGTTGGTTTTGATCTGGCATCTCATTTACAGTTGCTCTCTCACGGACGTTCTGTCGGCTCCCTCTGTCTTTTCTACAAATATTATCACGGTAACTGCTCCGACGAGCTACTTTCGCTAGTTCCCAAACTGCATACATTTAAGCATGCTACTAGGTTGGCATCTCAGTCCCAACCTTTCACTGCCGAAACGGTTAAATGTAGCCGTCTCTTCTACTCCAATAGCTTCATGTCTAGCACTTGCCTTTGTGGAACTCCCTTCCCCTTACTTGTTTTCCTGATAACTATAATCTCCAACTATTTGAATGCAATGTCAATCGACATCACCAGATGCCTTGTTCTACTTTCCGTCTTTCTCTTCATCCTTTCCTCTATCATGCCTCTTTACTCTTGCTCCCACTACTCTGTAAACCCTTGCTTGGGGTGAAAAGCTTTAAAAAATGTTTATATATATCTGAGACAGTATTTACATTATTCTGACTATTGTCCTCATCTTTATCGCCATATTTATCACAACATTTCGGCCGTTGTACGCACCGGCCTTCTTCAGGTCGTTGGAATGTCGAACTGAACCCTGAAATGGAATGTCGAACTGAACCCTGAAAAACTGAAAAATCTTCTAAAATATTGTTCGAAAGAAGGCTGGAGCGTGCAACGGCCGAAACGTTGTGATAAATATGGCAACAAAGATGAGGACAATAGTCCGAATAATGTAAATAATGTACATAATACCTCATCTCAGAAATATAGACAGACTCTATATCTGAGACAGGTTTCCATCGTTAATAGGTATATTATAGCATCTTATAATATCTTACAACCCTATCACTGTTCTCGAAGTTAAGCAACGTCGAGTCTGGCCAGTATCTAGATGGGTGACCGCATGGGAATACCAGGTGCTGTAAGCTTGGATGTGCGGGTCGTGTAATGGATAACGGCTCGAAATTGATAACAAGAAAGCCGAGTTCCAATTCCAGTCGGATTCATTAAATTCCCGTACGAACAAATATTCTTGGGAAAGGTGTGGATCCACCTATTCTACTCCCAGATATGGGTTAATTAGTAGGGCTTGTGTCAGTAAATAATTATTATCTCCAAAATAATTATTACGATCTAAAAATATTTTCTGGCTTTAAATAACGTTAAAAAGGTTGACAAGCCATAAAAATAAAACAATTTGTCAAATATAACATCTTGTGAATGGCAACATGAACAATAAAAGTACCACCTGCAGGTAATATATTGCAGTAGATTGAACTCAGAGGGATCTAATGCCATGTAATTGGCTAAACCTTACTTTTGGCTTAGGGCCATATATATGGGGCACTCAGTGAGGATCAAAATCAGAAATAATGATTTATTCGTTCGACTTGTTTAACATTACGCTGCAATAGGGAAATATTATGAGTAGAAATATAGGTATTTTGTTAATCGTTTTAATGTGTTCCTAAAACGACACTTCGTAAAAAAAAAGACTTTCTCAATGTCATCACTTCCTTGTTACGTATTTATGTTGATGAAGCAACTATCTGCTCTTGCCTCAATAGTAAGTTCGATACAATTCGACTAAGTAAGCCTGACACCTACTTTCGAAAATGAACAGTTGTTAAATGGAGCAAGGAATGAAACTGCTACCATAGAGAACCTTTTACGCCTGCCATCAGCATGGCTGATGCTAACCTCCAAGAAAGCAACTTATTAATCTCAAGTTTCCCACTGAAATCAAGGGGAAGTGATTATATTGAACTAGCAGCATGGCCTAGCGTTGCCCGTGCTTCATTTGAATCGTACGACTTTACAGCAATCGCTATCACTTGACTTAAAATATTTTTGCCCTTCCTTGCCTTTTTAAACGAGTGCCCTTTGCCGTGCTGATGTTGCTACATGCCTTTTCTTGCCTATCTCAAACAGCAAATTTTTTTCTGACCTCTGTAAAGATACATTAAATCTGTTACGAAAAAAGAACTAAACAAAATGAACACAAAACGATCATCTTTAAAAAGGAATCGTAAATGGAAAAACCGAATGAAAAAAGAACGTTAACAACAAATTTTCTTTTTCACACCCAACCCAGTTCTGTGGAATCAGAATCAACGTTGAGTTTAAGCAAGCGAATGAGCCAACATTGTTAACATTCGTTCAGTCAGAATTGTTTAAATTTTTTCCACTGGCCAAATGAACTAAATGCTTTTTCGTGGCAGCCAGCTATAGGCTCTCATTTTTTTTAACATTTGAATTTTTCGATGCATCCGTCGAAAATTGAAATGCATCAAAAATAATTAAAAAAAAAACATCCTGCCTTTTATAGATTTGATTATTCGAAGGTCTGCTGCTAGGAAAATTAATGTCTCTGAGTTTGATCCACTTTAACTTTTTCATCGAAATCCATCTTATATATTTATTTCACAGAAAAATAATGTTTATTAAACAAAATGTATATCTGGTTCGGTGTTCCTGTTATATATCTAGAGAATCTCGACAAAAATAGAAAGAGATGTAATGTTATCGGTCCTGACCTGGCATTTCGAAGATCAGTCATTGTTGGTTTCTTTGACAAGTTTTCCCTGTCAGACTTTTAAAAATAACTCATGACAATCATTCAAATGAGGTTTTTTTTTTTTGCTATATCGACATCATGATTTTAAATGTAATGCTTGATTGGTAAGTAGATCTCATGATTGTCATGTCGAATTAGCTAGATGTAATCGAAAATTCTATTCTAATAGCTTTTTTTCCCGTACTCCTCTCCTGTGGAACACTCTTTTCCGGTTTTTTGCTTTCCCTGCCAACTACAATCACCAAAGATTTAAATGCAATGTCAATCGCCATCTTCAATCTTTCTGAATACTGTACTTTTATTGTCCTTTCTCATCAACTAACGTCTTCTAATTCTCTCTCGCTACAAGCAATCCCTTGCGTCTTAGTGCCATTATCAGGTTGCTTGAGGTGAAATGATAATAAGAATAGATTGTTGCCTTTTAGCCACTAAGCTACATAATACCGCGGTGTTGTTTTTAAGCAGATCATTTGCCGACGTGGACATCATAGATTTTATAGGTTCACTGAATTCCTTATGCTTTTACAATATGAATCATAATAATTCGGACAGAGTCCAACGTTTTATTTGCTGATTTATCATTCGCGTGATTTTTTTTTTTTTAATCTTTCCTTTCATATCATCCGAGATTTGAGCTGAGTTCCTCTTCCGGTTGTCCTTATATCGTTCATTGAGTCAGCCATCAACCAATCGTGAAAGCCCCCCTTACACCCTCTCCCCATGCCGTATCTACTTTTGCTGTCAATTTCAATTCAGTGCCAATATAAAAAGCTCTTCACCGTCTGTTTTGCAAGAAAGATACACGGCGACCGTAAGTAAGGGCGTGAATGAAAGAGAGCCGAAAAGAGAGAACATGCGATTGGGAGAGGGGGTGGGGGATTCAGATATTCGCACAGGATATGAAAGTGATAGAGTATGTGAGAGGTTTCACTGGAGTAGGGAGAAGGAAAAAAAAGGATGTGCGTAGATGTGAAGGGGAGAGTAAGAGAAACATAAAATGAGTGTGCCTATGTGTCAATTAAAAAGTGACAAAGAAAACTTACATGAGCGAAAGAGTGGAGAAAGAGAAAGAGAAATACTATGTGTTCATGCAGACATAAAATAGATAGAGAGACAGACAGACAGACAGAAAGAGAAAAAGTGTGTGTGCCTCTGTGAATGAGACAGTGACAGAAAGATGATGTGAGTGGTTGTGTGAGACATTGGAGAAAGACCATGTCTGCATGTAAAGTCAAAAGAAATAGAGACAGACAGAAAGAGAAAAGAAAACGTGTGTACCTCGGTGAATGAGAAAGTGATAGAAAGATGAAGCGAGTGGTTGAGTGAGACATTGGAGAAAGACCA